AGTGCAAGATCCAGCAGACTTAAAGCAGTTTGCGAATCACAACACAAAAAAAAAAGAAAAACTTGAGAGGTTACCCTCTCTGGACTCTAAAACCAGACAAATCCATAAAATGTTACAGGGGGGACAATAAACTTCATTTAGCTGAAGAGACATAAATCCAGGACATCTGGTAGTGGCTCACTAATGGGTTTCTCATCACCTTGTTTCCACGGGGACTCAAAGGAAAACACCTAAACTAGAAGCACACAGACTGGACTGAACTATCAGAAGAGGAATATTATTCAACATGCTCCTAGAGGTCTGATGGCGTTTTGGCCACGCTAGCGACATGAGTCTGAGGATGGCAATGTTGGTCAGTCCACCAGTTTGGGACAGACTGAAATACATGAACAACTATTGGATGGATTACTATGAAATCTGTCAAACAGTTATCCATGTGCCCAAAGGATGAATTGCAATGACTTTGGTCATCCCCTGACTTTTCCTCTAGTGCCACCGTGAGGTTGAAATTTGGGTTGTAGCGATATATAAAGACTATTAGATGGCTTGCCATGAAATTTTCCTTGTGCCTTGGCTTTATTACAAAGTGCCTCAGGCATCCTCATCTTGGCATGTTTACCAGTTAGTGATACTAATTAGTATCGGCTACTGCTGACCAGTGACGCTGAAACAGCTCGATTTATTTTCCATCTCAGCCTGTCAAATGTATTTAGTTTAATTCCATCACAAGTCTTTAGCTCCAAAGGTTTTGACATATGGCGATTTATATTTGTTTACAGGCTCCGACGACGGACACTGACTTTGGTGTTTTGGCCCAGCTATGGCTCACCACAGCTGGCAAAAGGCTAAGTGGCTCATTAATGAACTTGTGAGTTTGTGACTGTTTGAATAATGAAATTAAGATGAACAATTAAAGGAGCAGCTGGACAGTTGATGATGGACATGTCACCAACACAGCTAACATCAGTATGACCATAAATTCAAAGATCCTGAGTTTACTGTTGCAGTAAATAAAAGAATCCAATTACTGGGGATGACAGATTACACACAAAGCTGCCAAATGACTGAAGCCATTATCACAAGCTGCACCAGAGGCCAGCGTTTTAAGAGCTGGCAGCACAGCTGATATCCAGCCAGAGCTGAAAGAACACTTCCCATATTTTAATTGTTTATAATTGCAGTGATAACAGTCCTGTTATAGCCAATTTTTCAGTAATGTAAAAGTGATGTCAATATGGTTAAATACATTTTATTCAACACTTTTTCTGCCTCTACACTTTGCACACCCAAACACACACACACAGTCACACAAACAGGGATTTCACAATTGGCTTGGATTCAGCAATTATGCAAAATCAATTTGTTACAGACAGAATTTAAGATTTAAACTCAGACAGATTTATCTTGGTATCCAAAATTTAGCAGTGTAATGTTATCTGTTTATTTGGCTAAATTACATTTGGCAGAGCGATGACCTCCTGCTCGTCTGGTCACATCTCTAATGTCTGCCGAGGCTGAATGAATCTGGCTTTTGGAGATGATGTGATTGAGGAAAGGAAGAACAGGGGTCTTTCGTTTAGAGAAAGTATTACACAGTTTATCCAGCTTCTGCCTTTTTCCCCCTCCAGGTTTAAGAGGCATCTTAAGGTCTGAGGAAGTCCTCTTTGAATCTGGTGCCTCCGCTGTCTCACTCAATATTAGCACTGCTGTTTTAGTTTAGCTTTTTCCACTTGAGTAAATCAATATCACAGCAGCAATTGCGTGTGTGTAAGAGTGAGGGTGAAGAGTTTATCGAAACAAAAAAAAACAAGTAAAACCATCAGGGACAACATAACCAACCAAATCATTGACAGCAGTATCTAATTGCCCAGAGCAACTCAGCACCCATTACTATGAGCTATTGCTGCAGTCCTGAAAGGTGTTTGAGGGAAATAGTCGCTTCTGCTTCAGCAAAACAGATAGTTGAGTATTTGTTGTCTTATAAAAAAGTATTTTTAAAAGTATGCTCTCTGGTTTTTAAAGGTTAACTTCAGTTATCAGTACATCTGGCAAATGCAAAACAGAACTGTTTGAATTGTATGAATTTGTAAGTTATGGGAGGAAATGTGTTTTGTGAGGTCACAGCGAACTTGACCTTGACCTTTGACCACCAAATTCAAATCAGTTAATGAGTCCAAGTGAATTTTTGTGCCAAACGTAATGAAATTCACCATGACCATGACCTTTGACCTTTGACAACCAAAATCTAAGCAGTTCATCTTTGTTGAAGTGAATGTTTATGGTAAATTTCAAGGCTTTACTGAAAGATTGCGTTCATGAGAATGGGACGGACGGACAGACAACCGGAAAACATAATGCGCAAGGGTGTGACAACAAGTCAGCTGATCACAAGTGTCTCACCACATTATGGATAGGATTACAACAGAGACTGAGTTCTTAGTTAAAGAGTAAGCTCCTAAGTTCATCAGCAACAACTGTGCTCTGCAGGTACATGAATTGAAATGTATGGCTGTAACGCAGGTTGCCTACTGCTCTGACACTGTAGCATGCCAAATTGCTACTGAAGAAAGAACTTCTCCCTCACATGCCTGCAGCCTGAGAGTCTTGACCCTGTGTACTGCAATTTTGTGGGTTTATTCTCTCTCTCTCCTGGCCTGGGGGAGCGGGTTTGACTCACCCGAAGCTGCAAGACTGAACCCTGCATCACCCTCGTGACACAACATCCTAGCTGCGATGCTGGTGGTGATAACAGCTGGTCTGGCTTCGTCTACCCCGCAGTCCAGGTTTTATTTTGGGGTAAAATAGCGAATGGAGAAGTTCCATCGGCATCGGATGGGTGTGTCGTATGAATAATGGCTGAATTCCATTTAGCTGATTCGGTTTCAGGGTCCTGGTATTGTGCATGCTGGCTCACTGTCACACTGTTATGGCTTACTGGGACAATTGAATAGGACAGACCCATTGTTTATGTGATTAGTGTGTGCTTTGCCTACAATGGCAAGTCAAAATGTTTGCTGTGACCAAACTAAAAGACTAACAAAGAGCAAAGCTAATGTCTGTAGACACCATGAACAGTGAATAGTCAATGTTTCATACTGTAGTGCGTATTAATCAGGGGTTCAAAACAAAAACAAAAAAAAAAAGAAAAGCTAGCGGGCCAGACTGCAGTTTGCACGGCTTGGTGAGATGTGCCGCTGAACATATGAGAGCAAAAAAATCCTTTGTGTGTGTGGGAGGGGTTGCAGTGCGAAATGTGCAGATGGGAGCAGCCTAAAAAAAATATAGTCCGAAACTTTCTCCTTGAAAAAAAACAAAAACAAACTTTCTCTTCTTTTAAGACAAAAAAAAAGTGATGTCAACACTGTAGTGAGACACACTCAGCTATGAATGTTTAATTTTGAACTATTGTTACTAAATTTTTTAGGCTAAAGCAATTTGACATTCTGTCAACGGCAGAACATAGTTTCCTCACAAAAATACACCTCCCCTCTGTAATCGGCCTCATCAATAAAACAGAAGTGGTGTTTTTGGCTTCGCAATTGACAAGTTGTTTTCAGCAGAGCTCTCACCACTATGTATATTATTTCACAGCATTTTTTCTTGACAGTTTCTCTGCCTTTAGTGTGCAGTGCTCCGCTCTGGGTCTGCCCGCAAGTGTTAAACGGTCCTAGATCTTGTTGCCAAAAAAAGGAAACACGAAGATGGTAATGAAAGAGGAGGAAGAGAAACAGGCTATTGTTGGCATGGTTTCTAACACTGGCACAGCAATGACGCAAGGACAGAGGAGATGACCAAAAGGGAAAGAAAGAAAGAAGAAAAGAAGGAAAGGCAGAGAGGTGAGAGGGGAAAAAAGGAAAAGAGACGTACAGAGGGAAACACAGGATGATGAAATGATGTGGAGGAAAGATATGAGTGGATCAACAAGACCGGAGGTCTGAAGAAATGAAAGCAATCATGAGTTGAAGTGCCTCATTATGAGTTCTCGGGATATCTGAAATTGTGGAATGAAATTGTGTGTGTGTGTGTGTGTGTGTGTGTGTGTGTGTGTGTGTGTGTGTGTGTGTGTGTGTGTGCGTGTGTATACGTTCAACGGCATTGTGAGTGCTTCAAGAACCAAATGACAATTCAGATGCCTGCTGTGAACTCAGGTCCCTGGAGGTTATACATTTCATGCAGCTGCAAACTACCACTGCTAAAATTTTCATCAGTCATTTTATCAAGTCAATTACATTTATTTTTGTCTTCCTGTAAAATAGATATATTATGAGGATAACATGACAAATATACAATGGTGTTTATACGGAGGGAGGCACAACTCAACATCAGATAGTTCTGAAACTGAAATGCAAAATGCAAAATACAAAAACAAGCATCAATATTTGACTCCTGACGCTCTGTGGATGAAGATATTGTCATCCAAGAGACGACTCTCATCAGCATAGAAACACTTAATCATAATATAAAAACAACATTCATAAACACGTATTGATTTGTAGCGATCTTTCCCTCTGACAGGACAAGTCTACCCAAACTATGCTAGAAAGCCAGCGTGCACGGCTGTCCTGTCGTCAGGCTGTAACTTCAGTGACACTCTAGCTGTGACCCAATTCAGGGGCCGCATCGTTGTGAGGCTGCATTTAAAGACCAATTGCGTCACAGCGGCGCAACTAGGCTGTCCATTTTCAAAGGCTCCCTCAAATGCCGCCTTCCTTTCCTGGGAAATGAAGGCTCCACATCCTTCGTGGTCCAACCTATCCCAAGATTCATTGCACACAGATAATGAAACTAATATGGCAGCAAACAACGCCAATAGAGAGACCGAAATTACACTGTTGAATTTAAGTATTGGGTTTCAGTTCAGTTGAACAGCTAACGGTCATAAAACCAAGTGCCTTAAAAGCTCAAGTTTTTGTTAAAAAAAACGTTTTGTCAAAGTAGCTCGGCAATGATCACATTAGGTAAGGGCGGACACAACTGGTGACGCAAAGTGGAAATCCTCCTTAGGCCAAACCTTCGTGGTCCACGAAGGCTACGAAGATCGCACCTTCCTGGACGGCGTCCTCCAAAGGATTCAGCCCCTGAATTGGGAAACAGCGAATGACTGTCCTTCCGAGGAAAACAACACCATCATCAGCTATTTTTACAAACGATCTATAAATGGTATGTTAACATTTAAGTCAAAGTCCTCCAGTGCGGAGGAGCGACTCATCTGTCGCAAGCAAGTGGAGGAAGTAGTGAGATGCTATATATACAGCTGCAAAGTCCACAGAGGCAGAAGGTCATGGTGGCTGGATGAGTCAACAGCACGGCCACAGTTTGCTTCACACTTCCTACTTACAGTTAATGCTGGCTTCTTTTAATCATGACCGTGACCGTTTCCTAACCTTATCCAAATGCTCATTATTTTTGCAGCTGCTGTTGGTAATGGTTTTGGAAGGTACAGGGAAATTATGTCATACTGCTGAATCAGAAACTCCTCATACAGTATGGCTCATTCTGGAAGGACATTGTAAATTAACTACATATTTCATATAATGTTTAATATTGGAGGGCTTGTTAGCCACACATGCACTCGCCCGCTCGTCAAGAATACGGTGACTCATCTGACCATATGACTTCTTCTCTTCGTGGCTGAAGCTCCTGCCATCTGTGTCCTAATTATAAACCACCTTTCTGGGTGACTTAGACCTCTTACCGCCTTGATCTAAAATAAGGTTTAAGTGGGCCTGCTCAGGCTTTTTACACTTGATAATTGTATCATGCAGCGCAGCTCTATATTAGTGTCTTCATTTGTTTTGTTTGTCCCCTCATTTATTCAGGCTTTCCTTTCATTTGTCACCCGTCTGTATATTGATCATGATGTTTCAGGGATCATATTTTGGCCAGTGAGAAAAGCAGAGGACGGCAAGCGGGCAAGCAGAGCTGTAATTGTTTTATGAAGCCTCCAGGAAACAGACGGCATCTTTTGGTGAGAAACAATGAACGTTAATAGAACTTTGTTTCGAAGTGAACTCCACAGGGTATGTCTGTGAGAAAACCCTTTCCTGAAACTTAATAATATAGTAGCCAAACCATTGCCTGAATATAAGCCTGAACTTCACCCAAGGCTTCAACAAAGTGGATTCACTCTCTGAAATCTATTAGCTATTTTCTCCACATGGCGAACGAGTAAAATTAAAATGCCCGACTTGTTCTGCAGACACTAATCAAATTCGCTGTGGAGCGTTGTCCATTTCACAAATCTGAGGGGTAGTCTTTGGGTAACTCTCTTCTTCAACTTCTCTGTTAACTTGTTCAATAAAGGAATGAGAGCTTCTCATAACCAAATTCAGATCCCTTTAAGATTTAATCAGGCCTGAGGGGAGCAAGACAAGATTGGACAAAGGATTTGAGGAGACTGTGCAGAAGCCTTTTATCTGTCTATTCCAAGCCTCCCACCACTTTTTTACATCCCTATTAGCTGAAGTTCTTCTAAGAACAGTGATGTTGAAGGTTCTTTTAAAATGAGTGAAAATCCTGGGACGTTTCAGTCGCAGTTACAGGTGACCACAGACAAACTCTTGGTTTTTTTTTTTTTGGTTTTTTTTTTTAATGAAACACCAAATGCACATAATTGAGTACACATGCCCTCCATTGACACAGTGCAAAACTGAGACAGAGAGAGAGAGAGGTAGATGAAAGTAAAGAGAGAAGGAGGGATGAAAGACACAGTCACAGCGTAATGGCATTGAGATTTTCTACAAAGCAACCATATCCAGTGACATAAATAGGACGGTTTCAACACAGTTTGATGCCTTGAGTGCTGCATCACGTCTACTTGCGCTGCGAGGACAAGAGTGTGATTAGCAGCTTGATGTCACAGCAGTTCATGCTATTCACCACCTCTGTCTTGCACACAACTGGAAGCAGCCCAAGGGTAGATTAGATTTTGTTGACTGTGTTGCATGCATCTGTGTACGCGTAAGTGTGTGTGTGTGTGTGTTTCAGTTCTTTAACCTTTAAAGCTATTTTGGCACCCTGTTTCAGTACTTTACTCAACAAGGGATGTGCTGGTTTAACAGGAAGTGTCTCTGCTTGGACCGATGTTCTCCTGTTAGCAAATACCAAAACGGATATACTCTTGTATTCTTCTGTCGCTAGTCGCAGCACAGTCAGTGTAATATTTACAGTAAAGTGTCGCTTCACCCGAATTGAAAACTAATAATTTCCCTCTGACCTTTAGTGGTATCTAGGCGTAAATAGAGAGATAGTTTTGGTTGATTTGTCTAGGTTTTGAGATGTTTATCTCACCAATACAGTTGAGGTAAATGGAATTTCACTGGAGCTGCCTTCAACCGAGGGAAAAGCCACTAATCAGAGTTTTGTAAGAGGACGAAGATGTTCCCCAGAAGTCAAAAGTGTGGATAAGATTGCGGCAACTTTTTAAAGGTCTCCTGTGGTGTTTTTGACCATGAGCAACAGAAGTGTGCCCCCATTTTGTTTGCTCCTGTCAGTGGTTTCACATGATTCCACTGGTCTAGGTGGCAGTAATGCACTGAAACAAAGGCAGCAATGGGCCAGGGAAAATGTGGAGAAGAAGTAGAATACAAGCAAGTAAACATGGATGTAAACAATGCAGGATTCAGTCTTTTCTAAAAACAATCAGCTTTGTAGATGTCTTGTGTGGAAGCGAATGCGTGCATGGACAAAATACCCTCTACCGCCAGCCCCACTACCAAATAGAAAACAGCTTACAGGAAAACAGTGTCAGACTGAGGTGAAAATTAAATGGCAATTCTGTCAGCCTGTTGTTGTTTCATCTTAAATTTAATTATTACATCCTGTGACAAAATTACAGTCACCAAAATTACATACTGCAGGAGGCCTCCAAAAAGTCAGAGACAGAAATCTTTATACCCGAGCAAATTGAACCAAAATTATCCCCCAGTTAGAAACCACTTAAGCTTTTATTTATTTATTTATTTTTTTGGGGTGAAGTGGCTCTTTAAATTGCCTCTAAATTAAGTAACCGTGCTTGTCTTAGAATTAGTTCAGTCCCTGGTCTTAGCTTTTCAAAAACAACATGAACGTGAGAAGTTGCAAGAGCAATATCACAGTATTTATGTCCAAATCAAAGCTGTTCGCCGTGTTCTGAATTTTTCATTTTCTGCTTCACATACGTTCATATCTCATATTCCCCGCGAATCATCTGTATGATTGCACACGCGAGCAACCGGTACTGCATATCTGCCTTCACAGACTGCAGACACCGATCGTGACATTAACCTGTGAAAATCCGTCAGAAACAATTTACACAGACACTGAATTGTAACAAAGAGCTTTAACCTTCCTGTTAGCAACAAATACAATCGAAACCATTAGCAAAGCAATGAGGAACGAAGAAAAGAATCTCAACAAAAAAGAAAAAACCCCCGTCACACTGTACGTCCTGCCGGGTTACTGTCTTAAGCAGATGTAAGACACAACTGTGACTAGCAGCTGTATAGCTTATAATATGACTTGCATGTAACAGCGCACACTGCCGCATCCATCTTTCTTGATAATAACTGGCTTTTGAGCCCAGAGCTAAATAACGCTGCTCTTCATAACTCTCCCCCTGCAGGGTTCACTCCATCACTGCTCCCCTCCACCTTACTTCCAAAAACCTGAACTCATTGGTGCAAATATTGGTCCCGGATCCGCTGTGCTTTAGATCCTACAGAGACTCTACTACACGCAGAAAGCAGTGTGTAGACCGGGTCAGTTTATCCTCAAGACAAACAACGGCTTTTTGCGAGGGATTAACCCACACTGTCAACTGTAAACTGTGCATCTGGAGCTGTGTGTGTTTTTGCTGCCTGTAGGACAAAAAGAAAAAATTCCTCCCTGCTGATACATCAGATAATCTGCAGCTTTCACAGACTGGTCATATCGGTTGTTTGATCCTCCCTGTCTCCTACCAGAGAGTAGGTTTCTGATGTTTTGCTTCTGTGCTGCCGAGTGGAACAGAGAACGTTTCTACCCATAGTAATGTCTCTCTTATCAGCTGACAGACCATATATTCTGTCCCCTGAGTGCCTCCTCAAAGGCAGCACATCTATTTCTACAGACTCAATTCTTAAAGGTAATGATCCAGTGTTCTCATTCACAGAGTGTCTCCTTGTAGGTAGGACGTCTGCTCTTTGTACGGAGTGCTGGAGTGTGTGGAGCTGGCAGGGGAGCAAAGAGCTGTCACACACACTGGGACTGGACCGACACCAGTCTGAGATGCTGTGGTCGGATCCTGCTCGGCTGTCTGAACTGTCTCTGACCTTTGTCCCCAGTCCCTGGCCACAAGCCAGGCTCAGCAGCCTGGGGATTGTAACCATGGACGCAGACGCTGCCAAAGCACCGGCAGCAATACGGTGGCGCTCAGCATCAGTCACTTTGTTGTCTGCAATCACTGCGGCAGGAGATGCCACAGCAGCTGAGCTGGAGAAGGAGGAGGAGCTGAAGAGGGCCGCGACTTTCTGGTAGTATCGCGTCCGTATCACCTTTGCCGAGCGGTACAGATCCCCAATGAAGCAGTAACAGATGGGGTTAAGGCTGGAGTTCGTCAGGCCCAGCCACTGGGCAAACGGCCGCGTCTGCAGCAGCCAAGACGGTGGCCTCTGCTCGCAGTCTATCCAAAGGTCAACCAAGTACAGCGGCAGCCAGGACACCGCGAACAGCAGCACCAGACACACCACCATCTTGGCGATCTTCTGACGAGTCTTGAGGCGTGAGGTGTGCAGAGCTTGGCTGCGAGGATCCAGATCAGCAAAAGTGGATTTTTTCCCTCCCCAAAGCCGCCTGCCTGTCAGGAAGCCTATGGTGAGGTTAAAGGTCACTGGCAGGCAGTAGAGCATGACGAACAACAGCACATTGTATCTGTGGAAGAAAAGGGAAATACGAACAGTGAGATTCTTATAACTTTCCTTTCTAAAACGATAAATACCTTGAAGTCTGTGATGTTTTTTGGCTAAAATCTCTCTATTATAACCATTTTGTATGTGTTGAAACACTAAAAATGACACTGTCCATGGCTGGAGACAATATCCTACTCTAAGTAGAAATGCCGAGCAAGTCAAGTATACTTTTATTACAGCAATAACATGCTGCATTTGAAGTTATGGATTACCGCCTAAGTACAGTTATCAGGAACACAATGGACTCTTCTCAAGACTATTTACTTTGCTTCTTTTTTAATCAACAACACACAGGGCTACCTATGATGATATTATAACAGCTGCTCTGTCTTTGAACTCTCACGAGAATTAGGTTTGAGGGTATCTGCAGATAATCAACACTATTTCACACTTTGCAGCACAGTCAAGTCAAGACAAGACAATAAAGCTATAATGGTGCAACAGCTAAAAAGATTAAAGCAAAGACTGTACACAACAGAAGTCATCCTGTGACAGGGATTAAAAAAAACCTGTCTCTAAACCTGTGCTTTAAGAGTTCATCTTGACAGCACAGCGTTTAAAAACCCCACAGGTTTGAGAGACAAGTACGTCCCTATGTGAGAGAGTCTAAGGGCCTTGGCACACCAAAGCAAACTGTAAGAAGTAGCTGGGACAAATGAGGATTGATCACACGCTTGCTTTGGAAGTTGCTCTCAAACACAGCGGAAAGACTGTAGATAACAACTAGCCGACAGCCGACCTGCATATAATCTCTGTGCCTGCGTGCGAGGTAATAACTTCTGTTACAGAAAAGACAAAAAAACAATCAGCCTACATCTTTATGCCTCTGTACACAAAACATGAAATGCAAATATGTCTGGCAAAAAGTTGTAACAAGCACGGTAAAGTTTAACTTAGCTTTGATCTGGTGTTGAAGACGCTTTAAACTGGGGAAATCCCTGATTCACTAGGCCGAACAGCCAACATGTCAACATGCTCAGTTGGTCACTAAGAGTCGATTACCACAAACGCAGCTTGAGAAATAAAGAGCTTTCAAGGCAGACTCTCAGCTTGGTGTGTCCGGACCCTCAAGCCCCCTTTTCCAGTGCTGATGATCATTCACGAGTCTGAATCCTGTAATACACACTGGGTCACGCACATACTGTACGTATATATATATATTCTATAGTCTGTTCGAGCACCTACCCTTGTTTGAGGCGATGCTGAGGCCACTCCTCCTGACAGACCAAGATGGCGAATGTCCCAAAGCTGATCTCCCGCCGCCGGTTCATCACCGCAATAGGAGCGCACATGATCGAGGACACCGTCCACACCACGGCGACAGTTGCCAAGATTCGGCGGCGGGTAAACATGGAGCGAGCTTGCAGAGGCGATTTAACGCTGTAGTAACGATTCACACTGATCACCGTCAGCGTTAACACACTGGCTGAGACTGAGACGGCCTGAGTGAAGGGCACGGCTCGACAGAGGAGGTCACCGTAAACCCAGGCCGTGTAGATCTGGCTTCCCAGAGTGATGGGCATGCAGACGCAAACCACGGCCAGGTCACACACCGCCAGGTTCACCAGCAGACTGCGTGTTGCGCTGACACTGGCCAGACGCCGGCTGTGCCTGTTGGTAAGGACACGCAGGGACATTAAATTCCCAATGAATCCCAAAATGAAGGAGAGGCAGTACATGATGGTCAGAGCGATGGTGCTGGGCTCATGGACGGTCCAGAGCAACATGCTCTCCAGATCTGCCAAGTCATTAGAGGGGAAGGTGGGCAGGGACAAAGGAAAGGAGGAAGAGGAGGGTTGGTAGACAAAAGTGGTCGTTTGTCGAAAGGATAAGGAGGAGGTGGTGGAGAGAAGAGGGGAGGGAATGAGGGAGGAGTATGGAACGAGGGAAGAGGGAAGCAAAGATGGCAGAGGTTGATTAAGGGAGGCAGTTGTGGAGCTTAAGGTGGAAGGCAGCATCAGAGAGCTGTGGAAGCTGTAGGTGTGGTTGAGTCTTTCGTGAGAGCCGTCATACTGCAGCAGTGGAGAGAAGCTGGGCTCGACTGAGCTCCAGTCCAACGGCTGGTCCTGGGACAGATCCATGCTGCTTCCCGGTGGGAACAATCACACCGCAGGAGGGGCAGGAGAGGGGTATGACAATCTCTCAAATGTGAGGCTCACTGTAAAGGTTTCCCTTGCTCCTCATTAAAATCCATTCACAGGCTTGTTAGAAAAAGCAAAACACCAAAAATCAGAGACCAAAAAGGTGTGAAATCCTGAACAAAGACATCACATCAGGTCCTATGTTTCAGTCTTGTGCTCTGTAAGTCATTGTGTTCTGTGTGGGTAAAAATGTCTGTAGACAATAGCAAACAACAGTCCAACACCTTACGCCACATCTTATGAATCAGCTGGAGTCGTGATGCTGTTCAGCACTGGTCCCAGTGCAGTCCTTATGTAACATATGTACATTCATCCCTCCAGGGAGTGGCTGTCTGAACCTGATAATCCAGCACCTGGATTAGACTTTCTCACCTTCAAGGAGGTAAACCTCATGCAGACCCCCCCCCCTCCCCCTCACCTCCTCCTCCTCCTCCTCACTCTCTCCTCCACCTCACACCTTTTAGTCCATCACAGGGATGCAATCGGATCTGCTTAGAGAAACTAAGATATCTGAGGCTGTTTCCACCTGCAGCTGTGTTAACAGCTCTGTAGCCGACCAAACAACAGCAAATAAGACATTCCTGGATGGAAAAACACTGAAAAGCTTTTAACGTCTCCTCATGGTGTGTTTGGTTCAGAGCTGCTGCCAGTTAAGTCGTGGAAACAAAAACAAGGAGCAAAGTGTAATTGGACTTTTAACAATGCAGACCTGCTAAAGAAAAATTATCTCAGTATAGCTTTAATATGAATTATTCATTGAGTAAGTGTAAGAAGGAGGATGTCACTCTCTACATATATATCAGCTTTTACAGGCAGGGTTCTCTGATTTATGCAGAGTTGTCAGTCACCACCATCCTCATATTATTGCCATTCAAAAAGGAGGCAGAAGTCAAATGTGGCATTACAGAAACTTAAAAAAAAAAAAAAATCCCACCAGAGCCACATCTTAGAATTGACATACTCTACTCCTTAGTGGATAAGAGGGGAAGAGGAATAGCTGTTTGTAAAAAATAATTAGCTCACCCTCAGGGAGAAGCAAATCCAGGCAAATTCCAGTTATCGTTTACTGACCGTGTGCGGATCCTCTTTATTGCTGAAAGCCTGAAGATGTTAAAGAGGCAGCCAGGTGCTGACTGAAGGAGAGAGAGAGAAAAAAAAACAAAAACGGACAGACAGTGGCAAAGTTGCTCCAGGATCCTTTACAGCCGGTGTATGCGCTTTATAATCCGTCTTTGAGTCCCGAGAGCTCCAGAGGGATTTGTTGTCGGGAGAGCTCTTTGTGTTTCCGTCAGGCTTTTCTTTGCCACTAACGGGCTCCGCGCACGTCTGCGCTCCTGCCGAGGGAAGCACCGAGCCCGTCCGCCGCTGCAGGACTGACTATGAGAGAGGGATAAAGTCAGGGAGGGAGCAGCTGCCGCCCGACACACACACACGCACACACGTGCACACACACACACAGACTTTAACATACCGCCGCGCGCTCAACGGCTCAGCACCCATGGCACTGCTGTAACCCTGTAATCAATCAAAAAGTGACCGTCACTTTTTTCTCTCTCGGCTGCTTCCTAACTTTAGATTTCCGTAACATCCCGGCAGACTCCTTCTCTTGACGCTCAGGTTTACAGACAACTCTCTCTCCTCTGATTGATTATTGGAGACAAACTGTCGATTGACTTGCAGTTTATTGCCCTGTCATCACACCCCCCCCCCCCCCCCCCCCCCCCCCCAACATCGACAGATAGGCTATCTGACTAAATCAATCGAACACATTGATTATTATTTAAACGTTTGCTTATCAGTCTACAGTAAACACAACCCTCTCTGAACAAATGAGTTCATTATAAAGGCCGGAAACAGAAACATGAGCGGAAAGACAGAGAGATAACGAACCATAATTAAAAATGTAAGAACCGTATGTGTTGGCCTATATACAGGTTCAGTATGCTTTGTATGTTCTGTGTTGACAGCGATGGAAAGAAAGTGACTTTACCTGCTGGATATCCTTCACATGAGCACGTGCTTTGTACCTCTACTTCATTTCAGACTTACCTGCCAGGAAAGCACTGGAGCAAGACTTTGTCAGGTCCACCCACCGTTCATGAAGGAAGGGGGGGGGGGGGGGGGGCTTGGTAATGAACACTTGCCTCTCAGAGGGAAACATTGTGCTTTTCACTCCACTGATTCTGAACCATGGTGGTCATGGTTATAAGAAACAATGTTGGTTGGAAATGGGTGACAAACACTCCCGTATTTAAGTCCAATGTTTCGTCAGTAGACATACATATATAGATGTTGCATTGGCCACTGGATCGAAGATGGTCTATAACAAAGATGACCCCATTACAAGGTGCACCAATGGTATGAAGTGGTACATTTCCTGTCTCCTAAGTAGGCGGGCTCAGCTGGTAAATTAAACTATAAATACTTACCATTTCACCAACTTGACTAGCCGACTGCTACTGCAGCTGGTCAACAACGTGCAACAGTTTGAAGTTGAGGGTTGCCAGATCATAAGTCGAGCATCCCCCACATACCCAGTCTTTCGCTCTATTATAATAACCAACATTGTACTGAAAACACACAAATCTGGAAACTCATAGTTGCTGCAGAGATCTTACCTGTAACACAGAGGAGAGTTAAAACAACAAGATTGTTTGAGATTGGCAAATATATTGGTGGGGACAATTCAGCAACCCCTGAACATTGGTAGGGACATGTCCCCACTGTCCAGACCCAAATCTGAGCCAATTCTCTCTACTCTTGTTCTGCTCTTGCTCTTCATCTTTCTGTGATGCAGATCCAGATATTAATCTGATTTCTTCTGGTGGAATAAAACGTTTGGCCTCGGTGAAGGTATGCACTCTAACTGAGTGCCATTCTAGTTACACAACTGTTTTCACAGGCTGAGTACTCCTCATTCAGGTGTGCTTCACAAAAGATGAAAAATACACATATCAGATGAAACATGCAAGAAATAAGAACATAAAGAAAAACAATTAACAGTTGAACAAAAGATATATCTATAAAAACAACAGAAAACATCTAAATTAAAAGAGCATAAAGGATATAAAGGATATGATATGAGATTAAATGATAGAGTCAAATATAGTAAAAGTCTCCATCTCTAAACATAAGATACAATATATGTGCATATAAAGTGCTTTGCTTGTGTTTGCATATCATTTGAGATATAGGGCTGAATACAAAATAAGCATAATGTATGAAAACTGAAATTTGTAATAACCCAGAGGCAAAACAAATTCATGGTGTTTAAATATAAAATCACACCACATTCATCATGTGAGATTGTAACAGATGCTTCTTCCCATAACCTGTTACTGCTGAGCGGCCACCAACTCAGACCGTGTGAAACCAGCCAACTGCTCTTAGGAAGGGAGGAAATGTATTTAAATGAATCAAATGGGATGGAATAATTGGATAGAGAACTAGTATTGACCCTACCACACCTTTTGTCTGTTAATATTGATAAGCACTGAGCTCAGAGATCACTCTGATGACTGCAGTACCACATGCACAGACCACGAAAGAAAAGCTTCCACTTGCTAAATGTGAGATCACATAGATGGAAATATATTTTCACCTAATTTACTTGGAAGGTTCAATTAAATTGTTATGGACCTGGATCACTGGGAATCCTCTTTTCAGCCCAGCATCAGTGAATTATTAACTCCCTGTCGAAACGTTTTGATCAAATTTCCTGGGCTCCAATTTATGCATTCCCTGCTGTCTTTCTGTCCACGGTGGATGAATTTATTTTGTCTCAGGTCAACAGGTTGTGTCTCTTGTCTATTTATAAACTGTGAGTTCATGGCTGGTAGCAAAATATCCGGTTCTCACATTTCTAATGTGTGCTAAACCAAGCAACACATTTTCTTTGGCGTCTTTTAGCAACAAAGCTACTAAATTTAACTTCAGTGCACCATGCTGTTGTTCCTGACCTCGTCTGCTGCATATCTGAAACCATGAAATATTACATTATTTTAAACACTATGTAGGAAACTTTTAATATAGCCTACATTCTATGCAAGATAGCTTCAATTTCCACCAGTCACACTACGGAAAATTCAGCTCATTCAAAATAATAAAGCAACAAATCAGTTCACATTTGAAGAGTTTAGCTTTAAATCATCCATAAAAAAAAAATATACAGAATACGAAAGTGAAAAAGACTCCCACTCCAATATTGACCACTGCCGTGGAAGTTAGTGTTGAAGTTATGAGTCAGCTCAAGATATTCATTATTTAAGTCAATCTTAAAGACTGAATCATTTATGTTTTTTCCCAGTATTCCCCTGGTGAATCTCAGGTCTGTGTCAAAAACAGCCAGACCCATCCAATATTTTGTAATTAAACCTCCTGTTCCAGATTTTTTTTTTTCCCCACATGGTTTAAAAAGCGTTGGTGTTTCTACAATTATCTACAAGATGAGTTTAGAAATAAGAGGCGACAGATTTCTCCTCTCTGAAAATAATACTTTTGTAATTCACTTTGATGACAAATTTGCCTGATCTAAAAGACCAAGTATAGTATAATTATACAGTTAATGATGTACAAAATTAGAACAAGTGAAGTAGATCTAACAATAATGTGCAGGTTAACGTTTCAGATTCATGGCAGGATTTTGCCATTTAAATGAACTGCAGATATCTTTTCAATAAGAGCAGGAGGCAGAAGTGTCTGCTTTTATTTAGAGGGTGAAAACATTTGTGCGGCCCTTGGATGCTCATCGCTGACTAATGTTCAATGTGGAGGTGATACGTTTGCCAGGTGGGTTAAACACACTTCATTAGTAGGAACGCTGCAGAATTAGTGGGAAAATGCCATTTGGTCCCTTTGTAGCGCTTGTGGTGATGCGTGTTAGCCGTTCCTTGTTTAGAAACTCTGTCTCTGTGTTTCAACCTGAAAAGGGCAGCAAAACA